AGGTCCTAAGAAAAGTTTCTTGATATGATCTTCATGTAGATGATAAAGTCTGCGCATATGTTTAGAAATTGCGATGTCTTTTCGACAAGCATTCCTTTTACTTCAGGATTGACAAGCTTCAATAATCTTCGGAAGGATTCTTTCTCAACGATTGAGAAGGCGAGGTCGTTATCGGCGATGAGATAACATATACTAGTCTTGAGGTTGGAAACATCAAGTATATCCTAACAGTTTTTCGAATCAAAAGAACATGAACATCAGCTATTGTCGATGTGTTCTGGAGTAAGAAGACAAAAAGACTCGCCATGTGAACTGATTTCATCTTCTTGAAACCTGCAGTCAAGCTTCCTTGTCTTCCATCGATTGGACCGTCATCGCGGAGATTATGCTTGAAAGTGAGGTGGTTCTTCATCGAAGTAGTACTTCCTTTATGATCGCGTTTCAACTTCGTGCCACATTCTTTTCCATCCCTCATGACGTAACGACACTGATTGATATCTGAGTTTTCTAATCTTTTAAAATATTTCCATACGTAACTTTTTCGAGTTGACTGAGATTCCGTCGTATCGGAGCTATCGGCATGGGACAAATCAATTGTGGTTGAAGTGGGGGCTTCGGACATGTTGATCAATTGATTTAAGGTTGATTAATTGAAGTGAGAAGGTCGTTTGCGCGGTGATAAGTGGATTTCTCAGACAATTGTAAGGTTTGAGGTGGTGGGGAAGATGATCGAAAACGCCCTTTTCTCTTTTTTTTTATTTTTTTTTTTTTTTGGCTGTACCGGCCGGATATCCGCCGGATAGCCGGCGAGTAGCCGGTTCGAGTGTCGGATGGGGGTCCAGCATGCCGGATAGTCAAAAATAACCGTCGGTCCGGATGTCGGATGGAGCCGACCACGCCGGATATTGACCGGAGCACATCTTGAGTATCCAGGGATGCAGGTGTGAGCATGAGCACGCCGGGCTCACGCTCACTCGGTAGATTTCTTAGCCCCGATCCGCAGTACATGCTCCCAATCGGAACATGCATGTGAGTACAGCAACGTGTAAGTACTCACATGTATGTGTAGCATTAAGCCCTGGACTCAAGGGCACCTCCACTTTGGAGCACCCTGCTCATATCTTCATTTAACCCACGCGCACTCACTCATCCACACAAGGAACTTACGATATCGGAAACTCACCCAGACAAAGAACTTACGAATCCACGATATTGGTTATCCCCTCCTTCAAGAATCAACGTTCACACCTTTCAATCTTCATTCCTCCATTGAATTTCATGAGCTCTCTCCACCCTTCAGAAGAATCTTGTATATATTATCAGCCTCAAGTTTCAATCTCACTATACTAGAATCTCACTACTCCACTTACCAAGCCCCAACAAACTGTCGATTTGGTCTAGATCCAAGCCTTCGATCTAGATTTGGTTCGTCTCGTTCGAAATGGGACTGATGGCTCATGAATCACCAGGTAGCCACATTGTCATGTGGCTACCTGCGCTGGTGTGGGTCAACGGTGATCTGAAGGGTGTAGGCAACCTCAAATGGGACTGGGACTCTCGGTGAGTTTGTTTCCCCTCCCTCCTCGCTCTT